ACATCTCAATAGGATCGAGAAATGGAGAAGACTGCAGAGTGACCATGCTCTCTCCCTCTCTCCTTCCCTGCCTCTCTGTCTCTTGGTGAGCTCACACACTCTTTAGCCAAAAAAAAAAAAAAGAAAAGAAAACTTTCTTCGTTGTGAATTTTTAAAGAAAAAGAAATAGGTCATGATTTCAAGGAGCTCAGACAGGTAGTAAGAAGGGCAAGATGCTATTCCTAGTGGAGGGAATCAAACAGGAGAAGGCTTCCTTCCCCCTGGAGCTGAGAAAGTTCTTCATCTCGGATGACTCTAGCAAAAGGGGTGAGTGTGGAGAGGCCGTGTAAGGACACCTGCATGCCTGGTTGAAAACTGCATGCGTAATTCCTAGGCAAGCACCTCTGGTGGTTTGAGTAAAGAAATAGCATGGTCTGAACTGTCCACCTCGCGGGGAGGGTACCGAGCGGCCAGACCTGAAGGTTCAGCAGATAACATGACTGTAGCTTCACTTTCCCGGCACGGCTCTTGCTTGGGGGGGGGGGGGTCATACTTTTAGACTAAATTCTTGTTATATTATGCAGAATTAATTTTTTTTATTTAACTTTATGTATTGATTTATTTCTTTTTTTGAGATTTTCCATCCAGAGTACACTGTATATTGTCTCAATCAAGCACATCAACAAACATGTTATGGTCAGCAAATGATCTTCCATTCCTTGTTTTCTGTATGTTTTGCTTTTTCCGCCCATCCTTGATTCTCTATCTCTTACCCTCTGCCATCTCCCGCTCTCCTCCCACACTGTCTCTGGTATCTATGTTTGCTTTCTATACTGTTTTGCCCCCACATTTTATTGAATCACCAAAGACCCGAATCAATCCAAATACCCTCATAGCAAACACAGGTGACACACACATATCCATGAACACAAGTCTAACTTTACGCATCCTATAAAGTAGCACCTAGCAGGGGCTACATATCCTACTGCAGTCATTGAATAGATATATTTTTTTTCCCTGAAACTTTTTTTTTGTAACTCAATTTACATTCCTTC